CCAACTATCAGTGAGAGAGAGACACAGGGCTGGGAAGAAGTGAAAAAAGACAGGTAAGAAAGATTCCCTAAAGAATACTGATAGCTAAACAGAGACAGGCCAAAAAAATCAAGAAACAGTATAAGTCAGAAGGTAAACACCAAACGTAATCTAGACCAACAGTTTCAATGATAAAATCATAGGTCAAAATAAGCGATCAAACTAGAGTCACTTCTGTGATCTCCGATTCCAGCCTCTCCCTTTTGTTTTTCGTTGCAGCATAGGGGTGGGGCTTTGTCTCCTGTTTCACACTGTTGCCTTAGGAGCTGAGGTAAAGTTTGTTGCTAGGTGGGCGGGGCAATGGAAGTCTGCCTGGAGAATGGCAAGGCAGTTTAAGCAGGTCTGTTTTTCTCCGCTTGTCTGGGTCCTCTGGGTTGGGGTCTCACGCTGTGTGCCTCAGCCAGGGTGGACCCGGAGTTCCAGAGCTCCAAAGTTCCAAAAGGCAGGCTGTAAATGATGAGAGTGGCACTGGGTCCCTACAGAGTATTCAGCCAGTAATGGAACCGGTGTCTCTGAGGGGCGGGCGCTCAGAGCCTCCCTGTGCGACCTGCGGTGCCGGGTGCCGGGCCGGGGAGAGAGCTGGAGGGAGCAGGGACCCAAAACTTCCCCGCACGCTGCAATACCTGGCCTTAGGAAATGAGGTAAAGTTTGTTGCTAGGTGGGCAGGGCAATGGAAGTCTCTTCCTGGAGAATGGCAAGGCAGTTTAAGCAGATCTGTTTTTCTCCGCTTGTCTGGGTCCTCTGATTTGGGGTCTCACGCTGAGTGCCTCAGCCAGGGTGGACCCGGAGTTCCAGAGCTCCAAAGTTCCAAAGGGCAGGCTCTAGACAGCGAGAGTGGCGCTGGGACCCAACAGAGGACTTCAGCCAGAAATGGAACCAGCGTCTCTGAGGGGCGGGTGCCCAGAGCCTCCCTGTGTGACCGGCGGCTTGATGCCGGGTGCCCGGGCTGGAGACAATGCAGCCGGGGAGGGATCTGGAGGGGGCTGGGACCGGAGACTTCCACACACGAGTAGAACGGCAGCAGTGGGGCGGGGGCGCAATATCTGGCCTTGCGTGGGACTGAAGTTCCCGGGCCTGCCCCCAGCGCGGTTGGTGGTGGGCTGGGGGATGGGGGTAGCGAAGTGATAGCCTTTTTGGGGAACTCACGTTCAGAGAATCTCACAAGTTCACCTATGCCGTCGCCATCTTGCCCCGTCTCTCCTATTTTTTTTTTTTTTTGACTTGGAGTCTCACTCTGTCACCCAGACTGGAGTGCAGTGGCCACTCCCTGCCACTGCAGACTCGACCTGCTGGGCTCTGGCGATCCTTCCGCTTCAGCCTTCCAAGTAGCCGGAACTACAGGCACGCGCTACCACGCCCGGCTGATTTTTTGATTTATTGTAGAGATGAGGTCTCACCAAGTTGCCCTGGCGGGTCTTAAACCCGCAGGCTCAGGCAATCCACTAACCTCAGCCTCCTAAAGCACGGGATTACAGGCTGGGCCACCGAGCCCGGCTTATCTTATGTACTCCTAATATGAATTTTTTAGCTAAGAACTTCCTTTGGGATGCTTCATTTTCTTTGTGGCTTCTTATTTTCGTGATTTTATAGGATATATATTTGTTATTTATGATTGTTTTTGATAGTTCTGTAATATTTCTAAGTAGTCTTTTTAACTTAATGAAAGTTAAGTACCATAAAAGTAGTAAGCACTGACTTCCTTTCTCTAGCCATGTTGATGGTATGCATGAGGTGGTTGTGGCCTGCCTTGGTGGGTGTTAGTGGGGGGTAGCTGGTGATGCTGCGCTGTCTGTTAACCTGAGGCAATGTGACACAGAGCGGCAGAGGCATATCTGGGGCTGAAACTGACCTTGGGAAAGTCATCAAAACCCTATGAGCTTGGATTTTTTTCCATCATGAAAGTCGATGCAGAAACTTCTATTTCCACTTCCAAGGAAGTTCAGGGTAGAGTGCTGCCAACAGCAGGTCCTGGAACACAGTTTCTCAACCCCTTCCACACATGCACACACGCCCCTGTTGTTCAGAGTTCCCACAGGAGCCCTGACACGAGTATCTTTTTCGGTTTCCAGCCTGCCTCCTCTGGCTCCTGGAATCTCTCACTTTGCCTCTCTGTGATAGTTACAGTTAGGTTCTGCTCTTAGTGACAGAGCACAGAGTAAAATGATCACATGACTTAAATGGGATAGAGTGCATTTTGCCTCTTGTACATGTGAGCAGCCGAACCGAGAGGGCAGTGCCGGTCATCAGCACTCAGCCCTCTGTCTCCTTCCACTGAAGGGGCCGTGCCTTCCTCAGCAGAGACTTCATCTTCATGGCTCCCGCTGGCTGCCTCAGCCATGACATCACACCCTAGCTAGCAGGAAGAGGGAGGAAGTGCTTGTCTTCCTTTTAGGGACACTTGCTGGAGGTAGCACAGGCCACTTCCTATAGGCCAGGACCTAGTCGCGTTTGCTGCCAGGGAGGCATAGGAACGTTCGTGGGTGCCTCATTTCCATGCCTCATTCCTAAAGGAGGTTAAGCAAACGAAAGCCATAAGTAACCTAAAAATACCAGTTTAGAAAATAATCAGCGGCAGCATGAGATAGGATGAAAGGAAGAGCACCTAAAGGAGGTGGAGGAAGGTCAGGGTGTAGCCTCCCATACTTCGGGTTCTCGTTTCTCCTACTAGCTCAGTTTCCTCTTTTTGTTCCTTTTTATAAGTGTTCTTCAAAACTCTTCTCAAGCCTGTCTCCCTTTATCTTCTCTCCCTGGGGGAATCTCACAGATCTCCAGCCTTAAGTTTTCACCTCTGTGGCAACAACTTAAAAATATTTTAAACCCAATAAAAATGAAAACGCAACGTATCAGAAGTTGTGGGTGCAGCTGAAGCTGTGCTGGCAGGATGGTTTTTAGCATTAAATGCCTGGGATCCCCATGCTGACATTTTTTGATCTTGAGTTAGATTTGCACCTCTTTGCTGAATATCTTCATGAGTTTTCCTCAGCATCTCAAATTTATGCTATTTCAAAAAGACATTTTTTCCTTCCACAAATTTGTTATCTGACATCCTATTTTGGTTATCTTTATCACCTTGTATCTGGCACCAAACGCTAACAACATTTTGTATTTTTCCCAGACATAATTCTCCTCATCCTCTCAGTGACCAGAACTGATGGTCAGTACTACCAACTTGCCTCAGCCCCCTCTCTGCAGGCTGAGGCTTCATCTGACTCTGCCATCCCTCCTGAGCTCTCTCCCAGCTCATCTTTATGATGCTCTTCCCTCCATCCTATCTCATGCTGCCGCTGATTATTTTCTAAACTGGTGTTCTTATGTTACTTATGGCTTTCGTTTGCTTAACCACCTCTTTGGTATCCTGGTGCCCACCCAATATAGTTCATACCTTTGTGTGGCATATAGGGCCTCAGTGTCCCATCACTGCCCTCTTCAGCGGTATTTATGTGACTCCTCTAGTGTGGTTTAGCCCTGGAACATGCCTGTCTTTCCTTGTACTTTGCATCCCACACCTGACTGACCTGGACAGCTGTGGCCATGGTGTGCTCAGTTGTGACAGCTGCTTTTCGCCATTTTATCTTGGAGGTGGCCCTATTTTGCCTCATCTGTGCATTTTTGTAGAGGTCTCTGCAAGTTCTTGAGTTGTTGCCCAGGTGCCCACGCTCGTGCCCTGGACCTGGATTGCTCAGCACGTTGTTGTGGAGTGAAGTATCGTCTTCCACTTACCAGAGCCTCGCTTGCCTGTGCCTGGAACTAACTGCGAGGTGGTGTGCTCACTGTGTGGCCTGGCACAAATACATGTGGTTGCACAAATACATAACATGACTGTTTCCACAGAGGTTGTAGTTTATCAAAGAATATCTCATGTTGTAGCCCAGCCTTTTATCCAGAAAGAGCAGGATCAGTTTGTAAGTAACACATACATGTAGATACTTTATATGACTTGTCAAATGCTATGCAGACACTGTTGTTATCTTTTTTTTTTTTTGAGTTGGAGTCTCACTCTGTCACCCAGACTGGAGTGCAGTGGCCGCTCCCGGCCACCGCAGCCTCAACCTGCTGGGCTCCCGCGATACTTCCACCTCAGCCTTCCAAGTAGCCGGAATTACAGGCATGCGCTATGATGCCCAGCTGATTTTTTGATTTATTGTAGAGATGAGGTCTCGCTGCCCAGGTGGGTCTCGAACCTGCGGGCTCAGGCAGTCCACTCACCTCAGCCTCCCAAAGGCACGGGATTACAGGCTGAGCCACCGAGCCCGGCCACTGTTGTTACCTTGAGTACTTTTTATGGAATAAGATCTCTTTAGGATCTGTGGAAGATGTAAGTATGAATAAGACTTTCTGAAGTAAGAAGCTTATCTATTGGGGGAGAGAGAAGACATTTATACAAATTATATAAAACAAGGTAGAAATCAATGTATGTGGTTTAAGTAGATTTTTAAAAACCAGCTTTTTGGAGAAAGTGGGACTATATAGTAGCTATTGGATACTAAGCACAGAGCTCAGGAAGAATTTTAGGGCCAGCAGTACAAGTTTGAGAGCTAAAGATGCAGAATGTTTCTTTTCTTTTTCTTTCTTTTTTTTTTTTTTTGAGTCTGGGTCTTACACTGTTGCTCAGGCTCGAGTGCAGTGGTATGATCACAGTTCACCACAGCCTGGATCTCCTAGGGGCTCAAATGAGCCTTTCACTTTAGCCTCCTGAGTAGCTGGGACTATAGGTACATGCCACCATGCCTGGCTAATTTTTAAATTTTTTGTAGAGATGAAGTTTTGCTGTATTGCCCAGGCTGGTCTTAAACTCTTGGGCTCAAGCAATTCTCCTACCTCGGCCTCCCGAAGTGCTGGGATTATAGGCATGAGCCACTGCGCCTAGCCAAGATCCAGATTTTAGAGTCTTCTGCATAATAATAAATATTGAAGTATATTGATAATATTAAGCTGAAAATAGGTTATTAAGTATGAATTAATACGGAAGTATTTCTTGAGAGCTAGCTTACACAAACACTGATTTCATCATAGTGTGTGTAAAATCTTACTGAATTCCCCCAGACACCTTTGAGAATGGTGTTATTTATTATGTCTCATTTTGCAGGAAAAAAACCTGTCTGTCTGTAGAGTGAGAAAAACTGCCAAGGGTTTCATGTCTGGGAAATGCTGAAGTTGGAAGCTGTATCTGTAGACTGTACTGATTATGCCAGGAAGCAGTATAAGTATAAAAAATAAGCAAAGGCTACTGGTTGGGTAAAATACTAAATTGTACTTGCTTGTACACAGATAACAGTCATCAGTAGTAGAAATATCCTGTTGTCTGAACAATGATCTGTGGAGGTCTGGGATCCTGAATTTTGAAAGTGGCTGGGCTGATGCATTGGTGAGGACAGTGTTCTTACATGGCTTGGTCACTGGGTGTGCTGTATTCTTTCTTTTTTTCTTTTCAGTCAGAGTCTCACTCTGTCACCCAGGCTCGAGTGTTGTGGCATGCTCATGGCCACATGACCTGCTGGGCTCAGGCAATCCTTCCGCCTCAGCCTCCCAAGTAACTGGGACCACAGGCACGTATCATCAAACCCAGCTGATTTTTTTGATTCATTGTAGAGATGAGGTCTCCCCAAGTTGCCCAGGCTGGTCTCGAACCCCTGGGCACAGGCGATCCTCTGGTTTCTGCCTCCCAAAGTGCTGGGATTATAAGCGTGAGCCACCACACCTGGCAGTTTGCTGTATTCCCATGTCTCTTATACTGTATTTTGCCAAGGACATTCTTCCCAAAGTGTTCCTAGATGACTGCTTGTTTTCACAAGAATATTTCAGATGTGTGGCCATGTACCAGAATTGTTTCCTGCTTTGATTGGTGTCTCTCTACTTGTATTTTGCTTTAATTATTTCTTCTCACTTCTTCCCTTTTCTGAAGTCAACAGCTCTCTATACCACCTTTGATGAGGTAAGTGATTAAATTTGTGAGGTAACTTGAAATTAAAAAATCTTCCTTTAAAGTTCAAATTCAAATACAAAACTAAAGATCAGCTGGGCTCGGTGGCTCAGCCTGTAATCCCGCGCCTTTGGGAGGCTGAGGTGAGTGGATTACCTGAGCCTGTGGGTTCGAGACCCGCCTGGGCAGGCGAGAACTCATCTCTACAATAAATCAAAAATTAGCCGGGCGTGGTAGTGCGCGCCTGTAATTCCGGCTACTCGGAAGGCTGAGGCGGAAGGATCGCTGGAGCCCAGCAGGTTGAGGCTGCAGTGGCCGGGAGCGGCCACTGCACTCCAGTCTGGGCGACAGAGTGAGACTCCAACTCAAAAAAAAAAAAAAAATGAAAACTAAAGATCAGCCATAAACCTTATGCTTACAGGAAAATGTCAATAGTAAAACAAGCCATAAAAGCTTAGAATAGATATAATTTCCAGGTTAATTTTGAGGCCCAGTGTTACTAATCTAGTTCTTAAACTTGTGCACATCTCAGAGTTGGAGGATGCCCAGGGATTTAATGTCATTAGCTATAATTACTTAGAGGCTTGCACTTTAGATTTAAGGTTAACATTTGTCTTTTTTGCACATGAAATATTCCTCAACTACTGTCATGAGTGTATATAGTATATACACACATATATAGTATATACTGATACATTTAATCTGTATATTGTAGGTATAATTCTAAAGATGAAAATTGGAATAGTAAAAATTACAGGTGAAAGTACCTTTTATCACCCATAGACTACAGAGGACTTTGTGTGTGTGATCCTGGATGATAATTCTTATGCACCTCAAGGGTGATGGCCTGTAGGAAACCAGGAGGTCTACCTGTAGGGGGTTGGGCTTCACATTGTTTTGCCTTTAAGAATAACTGTTAGATTCCTACATGAATGTGTGGTGAGTTAATTTAAATGTGCCTGCTTACCTGTAGGGTTTATTTTATTGGGTAAATAATTTGCCATTATTTGAATAATACATTTGGTAGTGTGAGATAGTATAGTCAAATCTATGTAGGGTCAGGTCTATAGGATTGGGTCGGGATGGTTGGGCTCCAAAGTTCATGTTGAATTAAGAAGTGACTTAGTGAATTAAGAAGTGACACATGTGTGCACACACACCCACCACACATACACATACACACACACACACACATACAACACTGCATATACACACATCACATCACACATGTCTACAATTAGGAATACATATATTCTTTTTCTTTATTTAGTTATTTATTTATGAGTCAGCGTCTTACTTTTGTTACCCAGGCTGGACTGCAGTGGCATGATCATGGCTCACCATAGCCTTAACCTCCTGGGCTCAGGTGATCCTTCTGCCTCAGACTCCTAAATAGCTGGGACTACAGGTGCATGCCACCAGGCCTAGCTATTTTTTCTTTTTTCTTTTTTTTTAATTTAGAGATGAGGTCTTGCTGTTGCCAGGCTGATCTCAAACTCCTAGGCTCAAGTGAACCTCCCTCCTTGGTCTCCCAAAGTGCTGGGATTACAGGTGTGAGCCACCATGCCCAGCCAAAAATATATTTATTTCATTATACTGGTGAAGAAAAGTTTTTCTGAACATGTTGCTGTTGTGTTTTAAAGACTGGCCTTATGTTATTTAATTTTCTTGGACTTTTGTAAAAGGTTATACTGAAGGTACTATTTCCTTTGATTCTGAAAATTCTGGATGTTTATGTCTTTGGACCAATTAATCCCTTTATTGATTTTTGATGTTTTAGATACTGGGAAAACACCTGAATGATGGTACACTCAATCAACTTCCTCTGTTCCTAGGAGAGCCTGTTATGGTAAAGTACTAGGTATTTTTCAGTCTCATAGTCTTGTATTTATGGATGTGATAAGTGCTTCTCCAAAATGGAGTCAGTTTTGCTTGTGGTTGGCTCAGGAACAATCTTAGTACACCATCACTGTGCTGCCTCAGCTTCCTGCACCAGCCAACGGAGGGGTGCTCCATATATGTGGTTTAAGGAGATTTTTAAAAATCAGCTTTTTGGAGAAAGTGGGACTATATGGTAGCTACTGGATACTAAGCACAGAGCTCAGGAAGAATTTTAGGGCCAGCAGTACAGGTTTGAGATCTAAAGATACAGAATTTTAAGGCCTGATGATGTAGCTTCCGTATCCCCTGACCTTGTCATTTACATGTACTTGTAGGTAGAAGGGCCTATGTTTGCCTTGTGAAATACAACAGTCAAATGTGACTAACAGAATTGAGTATTGGATGGAAAGAGAAATATTAATTGTTTAAAACCATTTTCTATTGATCAGTTTTTTGTTTTTTACTAAGATAACTATTTTGGATTATATAGATATTTTGTATTTATTCCTTCTGAGAGTTGGCAGATCTAGATTCTTTTTCCTGTTCTTTGATTTTGGTCAAATTTCTTATACTCTTTTGGCATCCATTTCTGCCATCAGAAAAATAAGATGATTGAACTAGTTTATCCGGTATTCTTTTCCATCTTGAATCTTTGTGGTTTTTTCATCCATTGGCAGTTTGCCTAGGTCAGTGGTTTTATTTTATTTTTTTGCAGACACAGTCTCACTCTGTTTCCCAGGCTGGAGTGCAGGGTTGCTTTGAGCTCACTGCAGTCTGGAGCTCCTGGGCTCAAGCCATCTTCCTGCTTTAGCCTTTCAAGTAGCTGGGACTGCAGGCATGCACCACCTCACCTGGCTAATTTTTCAATTTTTCTGTAGAGACAGGGTCTCTTTATGTTGCTCAGGCTGATCTCAAACTCCTGGGCCCAAGCAGTCCTCCCATTTGGCCTCCCAAAACACAAGGATTGCCAGTGTAATCTATCACACCCAGCCTATGTCAGTGATTTTCTGGCTTCTTTTTCCTATAACTTGTGGGAGGGGCCTTGGACTTGTGTTGTTGAAGGAAAAAGCAACTATCTTCACCAGGTTTTGAAGATGAAAGAGCATATGAGAAGGGAGAGTGGAGCTGGGAGAGGGGAAGCCAAGGGCTGTGCTCACATGTGCAAGAACTACAATTTCCATACTTACCTGGGAGGGGAGATACCGTGATCACGAAAGTGGTTCTCCCAGGGCGAGGCTTATCCATTGCACTCCGGATGTGCTGACCCCTGCGATTTCCCCAAATGTGGGAAACTCGACTGCATAATTTGTGGTAGTGGGGGACTGCGTTCGCGCTCTCCCCTAAAAATTAAAAAAAAAAAAAAAAAAGAACTACAATTTCCTTACTGCCTTGGAAAAGTTAGTTTCCAAATGTGGACACTGAGTTCCCTTCCTTGATGAGGCTGAAAACAAAGAAGACTTGGGTTTTCTGAGGCTCTGGCACCACCTAGGCAGTCAGTTCCTGTGGAGCTGAGAGGATAGCTGGCCACAGCATAGTCCCCAGAGGCTCCACAGCATTGTGGGCCTTGAATGCACCTGCTGCATTCATCACACCGCATCTTGATGAATGCACCTGTTGCATCAGCATCAGGTGTTGCCCTCTGCTGGGAATACTAACAAAACACTTTCTCTGTTTATTTTCTGAAAGGAGTTTCTCTGGGATTTCCTGAACCATCAGGAGGGTCCTCGAATAAGAGATCATTTAAGCCATGGGGAGATCAACTTTCATGAATTTCCAAAAGAAGCAACAAATCAGTTGCTTGCATTTTCCATTGTACTTTTACTCAGATTCATTGATGAAGATCTGTTGTCAGTTTTTAAGGTAATGTATATGGAAGAGAATCATTAACTAGATTCACTGTCATTCAGCTGTGAAAGAATATAGCTTATTTTTCAGATTTAACTAATAATCATCTTTTGTTTTAATATATCTGAATTGCAGTATCTTTTCCAGATACAGTTACATTTTACAGTTTCAACTAATGTTCTTTTCACTTTTTTCAAGATTTGTATGTTTAGCAATTATTTATAACTGTGTAATTCTTTTTTAGTTGTATTACTTTTTAGTGCTTAAATTACCATTCCCTAGTTAATTTTGCAGTTGTTTAGAACCTTTCTTACTCATTTCTACTTTTGTTGCACTGTGCACGGAAGGTGCATGTAGCCCTTGTAATTAATTATTGTTAATTGTCTGCATTTAAAATCATGTTTTTGGCTGTGATTTGACTGCGGTGCCAAACATATTTTAATGAAGACTTTTGCTTTGCCATATACCTGAGTAGAATTATTTTAAGGAAGGTGACGAGAATTAGAACTTTAAAAGACCTGCAATTCAGTGGGGGGGGGAAGCCTAACTTAAAATTATAGTAGCTAATGTCCATTTTCTCTAAACTAGGAAAAAGCAGCAGTAAGGGTGTTAACTAGCCTTGCAGAAGGCTACCAGTCTCGGTGCCATCCAGCTGCTCAACTTAAGAAGCAGGTATGCCAAGGGCAGGGTGTTTGGAGAGGTGTGCACATGTGTGACCCCACGTGTCTTCTGTAGCAGTGCTGGCAGGGTGTTGTTTGCTTGCTGAGGCCGACTTTGTTTGGCTCTAACCCGTGTGGTGTCTGTGTGTGGGGCCTGGCTTTGGCCAATTGCTTGGTTTTCTTGAGCCTCCAACCCGCCTCTGACAGTTGCAAGTAACAGCTGCATCTACCTCACTAAAGGTTTTTTTTTTTTTAACCTTATGTCTACTGCACTGAATGTTTTTTTGTGCTTCTCATAGTCCCCTAGCGTGTTGCTATTGTCAACCAGTAGCCCAGGGCTAGGAACAGTTTTTGTCTGTGCTGAGGAGTGTCATTTTTCCTCTTACTTCCCAAGACCAGCTTTTGTTAACATACTGGGACAAACTTTTCAGCATTTCTGTAGGAAGTTCCGATGTGGAAGCTAGCTCAGGTGCTTTATTCTATGTCAAATGAGGCATGGGAAGGGAAAGGAGCAGAGGGGACAGCCCCCAAGAAGGTAAGATCATGCTTGCCTCTCACTTGGGAGATTCACAAGTGAATTCCTGAAAAGAAGCTACAGCATCAGCACATGCGGGGTCAGGAAAGGTCTGCAGAGGCAACTCAGAGCCCCAGCACTGAGAATTCGAAGCCATGTCGATGTCTTATCAAAAGTACTATCAGTTGGAAGGTTGCCAGTAGTGGAAATAGAGAAACAGCATCCTAGAGGCGCTAAGAGAAGCGTGCAGCCTTCAGTGATGTGGTTGGGGGTTCCAGTCTGAGACAGGGCATTGGGCTGTGCGAGTATGATACTATTTCACTGACCACATTACACACTAACCTCAGCAGGGTCATTTTCACTTTCTATGAACAAGTCACAAAGGTGGATGTATCAGAACTCATTCAGGGAGTGAGGGTATAGATCACAGAAGGAAGAGAAGCTTCAAGAAGGCACGCTTTGACTTCCAACCTGAGCTACTCAGCCTCCAGCCCTGAGCTGCCCATGCCCTTTGGCCATCCTCTCCCAGGTCCCAGAGTAACAGCTCCTTGTTGCCAGTGGCTAATGTGAGTCCAATTTCCTGTCCCTCCTACTCCTGCCATCTAATATTTCTTCAGTTTTTATGTAAACTGAAGCATCCTGTGCCTCTTAAGGTCATTGCTCTGGTTATTACTCCTGTATAACAAATTACCCACATTCAGTGTTGTCGACAACCACCATTTAATTTATATATGTTTTAGTGGGTTGGAAATTTGGGGAGGATCTGCTGAGGGATCTGTCATGCCTCATGTGTGTTGATGGGCTGCGGTGCCCTCAAGGCTCTTCTGGGTGGATATACCATCTGAGAAGGACAGGAGCTGGCCAGAGTCCTCAGGGTCCTCTGCGGGGCAGTCCTGGAGTGACAGCTGGCTTCACCACAAGCATGTGGCCCAAAAAAACCAGGGGAAGAGCCCGCATCTCTGACCTGGCTTTGTGTTGGTTACAGGCCAATCACCAGAGCTAGTGTACAGGAAGGGTGGGGATGTAGGTCCACCCCTCAATGGGAAGATGGCAGAAGAACTTGCAGACATTCACAGGCAGCCCAGATATTAGTTGCCTATCAGCCCCTGCCATTTTCACCAGCCTTCCTTCCTCTGAAAATACTGAGTAAGAGAGTCCCAGCACACAGTTTAAAGATGTCATAAGATCTGTAACATTTATAGATATGTATTTTCTGAAAAGTGACTTAACATCCCTATTGCTTTAAAAACAAATTTCTTGGATGTTACTGTAAAAACTTGAAAAGTAACAAAATGTTTCCTGTGTTTCCTTCCAGGTGGTGAGCTGTGAGAAAAGACTCGGGGCATGGCCTCTGCTGCCTCTGCCAGCAGAACTTGAATGGGAAGCAGCCAGGTGTGTGTCATCCTGCCCTTGCCCTTTCTAGACCTAGCTCTAGAACCCACAAGGGAGGCAGCTGGGCATGTGTTGTCCTGGGCCATGTAGAACTAATTCCAGGGTGGGTGGTGTGGCTCAGCCTCTTATCCCGACGCTTTGTGAGCCTGTGGGTTCGACCCTGGGCAACATGGTGAGACCTCACCTCTACAATAAATCACAAAATTAGCAGGACGTGGCAATGCAGGCCTGTAGTTCCAGTTACTTGGAAGGCTGAGGTGGAAGGATCGCTTAAGCCCAGCAGGTCGAAGCTGCGGAGGTCATGAGTGTGCCATTGCATTCCAGCCTGGGTGACAGTGAGACTCCAACGCACACACATACACACACACACAAAGAACTAGCACTAGAACTCACAAAGGAGGTAGCCAGGCACATGTCATCCTGAGCTGTGGACTTAGCTCTAGAACCCACATGGGAGGCAGCTGGACACATGTCATCCTGGTTCGTTTAGATCTAGCTCTAGAACCCATGCAGGAAGCAGCCAGGTGTGTGTCATCCTGGGCCATGTAGACCTAACTCTAGAACCCATGTGGGAGGCAGCCGGGCCTGTGGCATCCTGAGCCATGTAGACCTAGCTCTAGAATCCATGCACAAGGCAGCTGGGTGTGTGTTGTCCTGGACTGTGTAGACCTAGCTCTAGAATCAACATGGGAGGCAGCCAAGTACATATCATCCTGGGTCATGTAGACCTAATTCTAGAACCCACAAGGGAGACAGCCAGGCACATATTGTCCTGAACTGTGTAGATTTAGCTGTGGAACCCGTGTGGAGGCTGTAAAACCCACCCGCCTGGAGGCAGCCAGGCATGTGTCATTCTGGACTGTATAGACCTAGTTCTAGAACCCACAAGGGAGGCAGCCAGGCAATGTTGTCCCAGGCCATGCAGATCTAGCTCTAGAACCCATGGAGGAAGCAGCCAGGCATGTCATCCTGGCTTATGTAGACCTAGCTTTAGAACCTATATGGGAAGCAGCTAGGTGTGTTTCATCCTGGCCTGTCTAGATACAGGTCTAGGACCCATGTGGGAAACAGCCAGGTGCATGTCATCCTGGGGCCTTGCAGTTGTGAGGTTCACTTAGTTTGACATTATTTCTTCTTTCACAAGGCTACTGGATGATGAGATGGGAGGGGGGTTGTCTGGACCTCGGGCTGGTGCAGGCAGTACAGGAGCTGGAGGTGATATGGGATGTATCTCCCAGCTGGGTGTGGGGCCAGAGAACACAGGGCAAGAGGCAGACTCATGGAGGAGGTAATGGCATGCCCTGGGAAATACTGAATAGAGAATTTAAAGGTGGGTCTGAAACTCAGATAAGTGGGGATGGATGGGGGTGGAGATGCTGGCACTACAGACTACAGCAGACATGTTGTGTAGTCAGAGTGGAACTTGGGTGACTCGGCGTCTTTTGTCCACGTGGTGCCTTGCTTTTAGCATATTTTAGCCTTTATTTTTACCACTGTCTCTGTGATATTGGATTTTTTTCATTTTACGTTTGGAGAAACTAAGACTCAGATTAAGTTCGGTGTTGAGTGAACCATTAAAGTAAACATCTTGCATAGGCACTCACATGGGCATCTAGTTATTGTCATGTACCTTGAGGTGTTTTCTGTTTTCCAGGTTGGAGGATAACTCTGAAATCAGTGCCTGCCACTCTCTAATTACTCAGATCATGGAGGGGCTGCATCACCACACACCTCAGCATCATTGTGTTTCCTGTGACTTGGACCAGCTTCCCACTGAGGCGTAAGTTCCAGGACATCCTGGACTCAGCTAGTTAGGATAGAAGACTCAGCTGTTCTGTGTTTTAGAGCTTAAGAGCTTGGTAGCAGCACTGAAGTTCTCACCGTTACTGCCTGAGAGGACTATTGAAATCAGCTTTGATAATATTTGCAAGCACGGGTGTGTCTGATGAAGCTGTAAATGCTGTGTTCTGTTCACCACTATCCAACGTTAATTGTTTACCCCCTGCTGTGTGTCCTGACCATGACACACTGCCAGCCCACACTCTGGATCCGGGCCCCAGAGGTGGGTGGGCATCAGTGTAAGCATGTCCACTGGAAGTTGTGCTCTGTTGCAGGTGGTCCCCGCTGCTCCATGAGCTCTGCAGCATACCCGTCCCCACGCTGTACTGCCCCAGAGTCGTTCTGGAAGTGCTGGTTGTGCTCCGAAGCATCACCACACAGTGCCACCGTGTGTCCAGCCAGGTCATTGCCACTGCAGAGCTGAGACACAGGCAGTGGGTGGAAAAGACACTGCGGTCACGCCAGCGACAGAACTATCTACGCATGCTGAGGAGGTGTGAAACTCACTTTCCTGTTTTGGGAGGGTGCAGTAGGCAGGAAGTTACCACAGAGGCAGCACTAGTCTTTCCTTTCAGATGTAACACAGTAGGTCCTTGCTGAATGCTGTCGACAGGTCCTTTGTGAACTGCAACTTAAAGCAAACTAACGGATAACAAAATCAGTTTTGCCTTAGGCTAACTGATAGAAATAAAAGTTACCACCGCATATTTTTGGTCACAAAAACATCTAAGTAAAGGTCCAAACACTTCTAACGTTACACATCAAAATACATGCGAGCTACATATATATTTAAGAAAGATGAATAAAAACAAGGAAGGTAATGATTGACCTGATTTTTGGTGAGACAGTGAGTGGTGGTGGTGGAGTAAATCAAGGAGTAATGTTTGAAAGTGAAAACTGCCAGGAGCGCTCCTCCCACCATACAGACAAAGCTACTCACAAGAATGGTGGCTTGCTGTACATGCTTGTGCCAGTCATTTCGTGTGTATTTGTGTGCCTGCTGTAGACTTCACAAATTTTTGACTTACAGTAATTTGTATTCCTTCATTTTCCAATCTGCCTGTGCCAGTTCAGGGTCGGGGTGACTGGATTCTGTCCCAGCAGCTCAAGGTGCAAGGCAGGAACCAGCCCTGGACGGCAGCACACACCCTTACACTCACACAGGGATCCTGTGGACATGCCAGGGAACCTCACGTGCACAGCTTGGAGCTGCGGGAGGAAGCCTGAGTGCCCAAGGGAGATGCAGGCTGACAAGGGGAGAACAGCACGTTCTGGCTTCAGATGGTGGCCCTGGTGGAAATTGGTTGTATTTCCCATAACATTGTGATGAAACAATGTCAAATAAAACATTATTCAAGGACCTGGTGAGGACACCTAAGGAAGCTGGAAAAGCAAGACCACCAAAATCCTAACTTCAGCAGAAGAATCACGATCAACAAAATAAAAGCCCAAATCCGGGACACAGAAGACAAAAAGATAATAAAAAAAATAAATCAGTGAAACAAAAAGCTGGTTCTTTGAAAGGATAAACAAGATTGATGGTCCCCTAGCTAGACTGACCAAGAAAAAGAGAGAAAAAGCCCAAATAAACTCAATCAGAAACACAAAACATGAAGTCACAACTGACCCTGAAGAAATACAAAGATTTATCAGAGACTACTATGTACACTTGTATGGAAACAAACCTGAAAACCTAAAGGAAATGAAGGACTTTCTGATATCACACAACCTCCCTAGGTTGAAACAAGAAGAAATCAAGACCCTAAATAGACCAATAACAATCCAGGAAATTGAATATGTCATAAGAAAACTACCTACCAAAAAAAGGCCCTGGAACAGATGACTTTCCAGCAGAATTCTACAAAACATACAAGGAGGAACTGATACCAATCCCACTGAAAGTATTCCAGGTGATTGAGAAAGATGGAACTCTCCCCAAGTAATTTTATAAAGCTAACATCACATTGATACCCAAACCAGGTAAAGATCCAACAAAGAGAGAAGTATAGGCCAATATCCTTGATGAACACAGATGCTAAAATTATCAACAAGATCCTAGCAAACTGAATTCAACAACACAACTCAAAAAGCATCCACCACAACCAAGTAGGCTTCATCCCTGGAATGCAAGGTTGGTTCAACATTTGTAAGACCATAAATGTAATTACATACATCAACAGACGTAAAAACAAAAACCAAATGATTAAGTCATTAGATGCAGAAAAAGCTTTTGATAAAATCCAGCACCCCTTCTTTATAAAAACCCTCGAACATCTAGGCATAGATGGAACATATCTCAAAATAGTAAGAGCCATCTACGAGAAACCCACAGCCAGCATACTGTTAAACAGACAGAAATTGGAGCCATTTCCCCTGAAAACTGGAACAAGACAAGGATGCCCACTCTCACCCCTCCTGTTCAACATAGTTTTGGAAGTTCTAGCTAGAGCAGTCAGAGAAGAGAAGGCAATCAGGGGTATCCAGATAGGAAAAGTGGAAATCAAATTATCCCTCTTTGCAGACGACATGATTCTTTACCTCGAAAACCCAAGAAAATCTGTCAAAACCCTTGCACTGATAGAAGACTTTGGTAAATTCTCAGGGTATAAAATAAATGTGCATAAGACATTCACATTTCTACACACCAATAATAAACAGAAACCCAAATAAAAAGCACAATTCCATTCACAATAGCCACAAAAAAAAATGAAATACCTTGACATCATCCTAACCAGAGATGTAAAAGACCTTTACAATGAAAACTACAAAATGCTGCTCAAAGAAATCAAAGATAAACAAGTGGGAAAATATTCCATGCTCGTGGATTGGAAGAATCAACATTGTTAAGATGTCCATTTTACCTAAGGCAATCTACAGATTTAGTGCAATATCCATCAAATCACCAGCAACATTCTTCTCAGACCTACTAACAATAATACAGGAATTCCTATGGAAACATAAATGACCACAAATAGCCAAAACAATCTCAGCAAAAAAAAAGAAGAAAAAAGGTAGGAGGTATCACACTCCCAGACTTATTATAAAGCTACAATAATCAAAACAGCCTGGTATTGGTACAAGAACAGACATATAGACCAATGGAATAGAATTGAGATTCCAGAAGTAAAACCTCAACTTCTCAACCAACTCATCTTCGACAAAGCCTCCACCACCTACCACTGGGGAGATGAGAACCTATTCAGTTAAATGGTGCTGAGAAAACTGGCTGTCCACATGCAGAAGATTGAAACAGGATCCCTGTTTCAATCTATCCCCATATACAAAAATCAACTCTAAGTGGATCAGAGATCTAAATGTAAAACTTCAAACTATAAGAACCTTAGAAAATGCAGGAGACACTCTTATGGAAATTGGAACTGGCAACCAATTCCTGATCAAAACCCCAAGTGCCCATGCCAGAAGAGATATACAGACAAGTGGGACTTCATCCAACTGACAAGCTTCTGCAAAGCCAAAGAAACCATCAAGAGAGCAGGGAGAAAGTCCACATCTGGGAAAAAATATTTGCCAACATTATGTCTGACAAAAGCGTGACATCTAGGATCTACAAGGAACTCAAATGTGCTGAAAAGAAAAAAACAAGCAGCCCCATTGCAAAGTGGACAAAAGACATGAATAGACAGTTCTCAAAAGAAGACATAGGAGCAGCCAACAGATACATGAAAAAATGTTCAGCCTCACTAGTCATCAAGTAAATGCCAATTAAAACTACACTGAGATACCACCTAGCTCTAGTCAGAATGGCCATCATCAATAGCCCCAAAATAACAGATGCTGGAGAGGATGTGGTGAAAAGGGAACACTTCTACACTGATGGTGGGAGTGTAAACTAGTACAGCCTCTGTGGAAAACAGTGTGGCAATTCCTAAAAGTTCTAAAAATCGACTTTCCATATGACTCTGCAATCCCCCTTCTCGGAATATACCTGGAAGAATTCAAATAACTCTATTAAAAAGATACCTGCACACGTGTGTTTATTGTAGCATTGTTCACAATCGCAGGAATATGGAACCAACTGTGCTGCCCATCAAAAGGACTGGATAAAAATAAATGTGGTACATATACACAATGGAATATTACGCAGCCATAAAGAACAAAATCATGAACTTCGCAGCAACCTGGATGGACTTAGAGTCTATAATACTGAATAATCTTTCACGGAAACAAAGAACTGAGTATCACATGTTCTCACTCATAAGTGGACCTTGAACAACTATCTTAATACTATAAGAAAAGCATTGACAGCAGGAAACTGTGGGGGTGTGGAGGGGGGGCAGGGAGGTGGGATTGGCAGTAGTGGGAATCTGCCTGGGGAAGAGGGGCACACCTCATCCACAAGGGTACCTGTACAATGAATATTTGTGTACCTAACCCTGAATTGTACCCTACAATTTTAAAATAAAACACTTTTAAGAAAGGACCTGGTGTATTTATTTCCAGAGAAAGTTATAGTACTTATTATTTTAAAATACTATTTGTAGTTTTGGCATATGGAAATATGAGTTCTGTCTACACACGTGAATACTTGGATTTAAAATATAACAGCAGATTAGCCCGAGTAAAGCCAGCAAGTGTGGTTATTCACTTGTAGCATACACTTTAGAAAATGTGCTACATCCTTAAATGACCATTGAGGATGAATTTCTAGAATTTTGGAACTGAATGGTACCTATGTTTCTAAAGTTTTTATTGGTTTTGCTAGATCCCCTTCCAGAAAGGTGATAATCAGATTACACTGACAATAGATTAGAATAGACTAGAAGCCTGTAATAGAAGCTCAGCCTGTAATCCCGTGCTTTTGGAGGCCGTGGTTTGTGGATTGCCTGAGCCCACGGGTTCGAGACCCGCCTGGGCAACTTGGCAAGACCTCATCTCTACAGCAAATCAAAAAATTAGCCGGGCGTGGTAGTGCGTGCCTGTAGTTCCAGCTACTGGAAGGCTGAGGCGGAAGGATCGCCAGAGCCCAGCAGGTTGAGGCTGCTGGTGGCCGGGAGCGGCCACTGCACTCCTGTCTGGGCGGCAGTGTGAGACTCCAACTCAAAAAAAAAGAATAGACTAGAAATGTCATTCTTTTACCTCGCTTCTAAAATGGAGCATTTTTTAAACTCTTCAACTGGTTTCATGGGAAAAATAAGATCTGACCTCAATTGGGACTTACTTGATTGGTGACGTGGAGCACCAAGTCAAGCACATTTTCACATTTGGGCTGCTTGTTTTTCCCTTGTGCAATTCTTCACTGGATGGCAAAGAGCGCAGGCGCCACATGGAGACCAGGCACAGACCCAGCTGTGCCCATGCTCTGGAGTAGCCAGTGCTTGCTGTGAAGACAGAGCCACGGCTGGCCCAGACCATGCTCCCTTGGATGACAAACGTGAAGAAGAGGGCCATGCAAGACAGGCTGGAGCCTGTGGCAGGCCGGGGCAGGGGGAGGCATCGGCTAGAGGGATTGAACACACACTTATTTTCACAAGTTTGACTTGACACTTGAAAGAGGTGTTGTTTAGGTGAAACAGCTTTCTTATGAAAGTGGAAAATACTTGTTTCTCAAATTTTAATCTACTTTTATCCATTTTTAGTATCAAGTTTCTGTCTCCTGTGCTTTACCTGGTTCTCGTACTCATTGCACTGGAATTGGTCAACATTCACGTAGTTTGTGGAAAAAGTGCTTATGAATATCAGCAGTATCTAAAGTAAGTATGTTGTACTTAAAAGAGGTGAAACCCTTTTGGTTATTTTCCGTGGTGATTTTTTTCATTGACTCCCACAGGTTCTCATGGACCTAACTGTTCTCTGTGGAGCTTGCTGCTAATGAGTTTGTGAATGTTTTGGATGCACACTCACATAGGCACAGTTCAGAAAATGAAGTGTAAGCTGTGCATTTCGGAGTTCTTCAGTCTGTGTGAGAGTAACCTAACATCTAGGCACAGATTGTGCTAAGCCTGTGGGAATGATGGAGGGGGCGCAAGGGCTGTCCCCATGGAACCACAGCTGTCTTGGGCAAGGCTACATCTGGTCCACAGGATAACCCTTCCACATCCACATGGCTCAGTACCACATTTGCTGTATATGACTAGTACCTTACATTTGGGAAGTCTGCTTTTTCAGACCATCCAGATCTAGTGGTCTGAAAGCAGGGTGGTACTTGTGTGGCTCACCTCACATCCAGACATTCCAGAACAGAGCAGACTCTAGGAAAAGGCTGCATGGGCTGTGGTGTGGGCTCAGATGCAGCTGTGGCTTCAGCCTCCCTCTGGTGCCGGGAGGCTCTTGATTCTTAGTTGGCTTCCAGCCAGTGCTTTGCAGGTAGCAGGCCCCTCCACACATGTGTAAAGTAAGCATGAAAATAGGGCTGTGGCACTTCATGGAAAGCAGTAGAATCCCACAGGAAGCAAGATGGTAAATACATGGTGTCAGCACTTGGTGACTAGATCCATGTGTCCTATCCTTGGCTCTGCTGACACTGTGGCCTGGTGGGGGACCTGTCCAACTCATTGTGGGCTGTGTAGCAGCATCCCTGGACTCTACCCACTAGATGCCGGGAGCACTGTTAAGATAAAACAGGCCATTGCCTCTGAGCTATGGCCAGGGCATGTTTTCTTAAAGCTTTGGCGCCCTCCCTTACCTTGGGGAGGTGAATCTCTTCCTCTAATTTACTTTCTAAATAAACTAATCTTAAAAAAAGATAAAACAAGATACAAAGTTGGGGGAAATTTTAGATTACTCGGCAAACTTTGAGAACTTGAAAATAAAAATGACCTTTATTCACAACAGTAAGAGATAACATTTTAGTGAATATCTCTTAAGGAAAAAAAAAAAAAATATATATATATATATATATATATATATTTTGAGTTGGAGTCTCACTCTGTTGCCCAGGCTGGAGTGCAATAGCACACTCACAGATACTGAAGCTTCGAATTACTGGGCTCAGGCGATCCTTCTGCCTCAGCCTTCAGAGTAGCTGGAACTACAGATGCACACCATGCCCAGCTAATTTTTTGACTTGCAGAGACAAGGTCTCACCAATTTGCTTAGGCTGGTCCCAAACCCCTGGGCTCTGGCAATCTTCTTGCCTCCGCCTCCCAAAGTGCTGGGACTACAGTCGTGAGCCACCAACCACACCTAGCAGTAAAATCTTTTTAACAGCAGTAGCTGTCTCACTGAAATGTGTCTCCTCCAAGCTAGACCCATCAAGAGTGGGAAGATGATGTGTGGAGGGTGGAAGATGCACTGCCCATAGGGTCCCAGGTGAGCTGGGAGTTTGACCTCTTCACATGAAGGCTTGACTGTGTGGGTCCTCATGCGTGGATTGCTTTCAGTTGGCTATCTGGGTTCCATCCAAACAATAGAAAATAGTGTTCTTGGGTTGCCAAAGTCAGCATGGGGGAAAAACAGAAAAACCAATGTGAAGCCCACATGGTACGGAAGGCCAACTTTACACACTGAACCTGAGTGTGCATGGATTTTGGTATCCGCCAGAACAAGTGTATATCCTATGTTGATGATGTATTACATGTTGTTTTGATGCAGATAGCCTGAGGTTCTTTCTGGAATTATGCCCATCATGTCAAAAACTTGAGTGTGTACAAGGGGGGACTCCTAATAAAATTGATTTATTTATAAAAATTGTGTATTTATTCTTACATGTTTAAACTTCAGTCACCCTCAAAGTACTCTCTGTTTGATGCAGTATACCTGTTGAGACTTTTTCCACTGCTGAAAAGTTTTTTAACTCATCAATTCTGATGCCTTTTAGTGCTTCTGCCATTTTTTCTTTCATCTCTTCCACATTGGCAAAACGTTTCCCTTTAAGGACCTTTTTCACACAGGGAAATAAAAGTCACTTGGGGCAAGATCAGGTGAACAGGGAGGATGGGTCACAGGGGTCATGCCATTTTTGGTCAAAAACTGCTGAACACTCCACATGGTGTGGGCAGGTGCACTACCATGATGGAAGAACCAGTCACCTGTTTGCCACAACTCAGAACGTTTCTTCCACAAATTGACACAACCTCCTCAAAACTTCCAGATAAAAATTTTGTTTGACCGTTTGATGTAGAGGAACAAATTCTAAGTATATTACAAGGGGCCCATTCTCCAAAAGATAATTCTGATTCAGTTTTGTAAACCTTTGTCTCGGTATCCAATAGAATTCACATTTCAGCATTTTCTCCTTTCCTCTAATTTGTATTCTCTTATTATTGTTTTATATGGATTTCTGAGATTTTCTTGACCCCTTAGACAAAAATGAAGTAGAGTTTACTTTAGGAATAATTCCAAGAATGAAAAGGAGACATGTAAATAACGATTGCATTTTATAATGGAATGATAAAGAAACTTTTTTCTTTTTTTACAGATTCTTAAAGTCCATCTTGCAGTATACTGAGAACCTGGTGGCTTACACCAGTCAAGAAAAGAACAAATGGAATGAAACTATCACTCTTACACACACAGCTTTGTCGAAAATTTGGACTTTCAGCGAGAAGAAACAAATGTTAATACATTCAACCAAGAAATGCATAAGTAAAGAAGTCTTATGAAAATATTTAGTCGGGATGCTTTTGGTTATAACAGAAAACCCAGTCTGAGTAGATTTTAGTGGTGTGTACATGGGAAGTCCCAAGGAAGGGTGGAGCTCAGGAAAGTCCATGGGAAGTCTGTTTAGTCAGGATGCAGTACTGATTTGCTCTTCCTGGCTTGTTGGTGTGAACCTCAGGCTACCTCCCCTTGGTGACCACATGGCTGGTCCTAGAGCTGAGGACAGGGTGGGTCTGCTGGCAGGGCAGGTGACCGCCTCCCCCTCGGCGTTGGTGGGGAACACTGAAGCCCTTCCTGTTTTTAGATGTGGAGGGCTTAGTGCAGACGGGGTGGGTTGGGGAAAGGTGAGGGAGCCATCCTCACAGACTCAGCCTGGAGAACCCAGGTTCCTGCACAGCTGTGGTGGTCCAGAGTGTCTGGTAAGCTCCTGCTGCTCTCTCAGTGGGTAGCAGCCGAGCTGCATTCCCCAGAACCCTGAGGCTGCTCTGCCTTCGCGTTTGCCCCCTCCCTCAGGAACTGGCTCTTTCCCTTTCCACTCCATGGCTGAGATGGTGTTCCAGCTGTGAAGGGGCTCTGGGGGCCAAGGGACAGCAGACAGCCCGCCATGTTCTCCCACCCTCTGTCAACACAGCCCAAACCTCGGTAAGAGTAAAATCACTGCTTCTGGCCAGGGTGACACTACTTTCTTGCACAGTTAGATACTGCTCAGCCCCTCCCCCAAATGGACACATGTGATCTGCATGTCAGTGCCCACTCCTGGGAGGTGTCCTATAGCGCAGTGACACTTCCCTCAGATGCACTGATTTAAATGATAGTTTGGTGGGTGTTAGATGGGAAGAGGGACTACTGAGTTGACGATTAGAAGAGACTCGTAGATGTGAGTGTATACTCACCAAAGCAGTGAAGACCATGCAGGGCTACTGTGCCCTGTCTGGGGATCAGGTGACACAGTAGGTTTGTATTTAAAAGTCTCTGTTTTACCTGTGTTGTTGGCCCAAACCTCACTTCTGAAAGGTCTCTCCCAGTACAACTATTTCTGGTTTGGGGTGACTATAGGTTTCCATGGACTTACCACTAGACTTAGGGATACTAAGAGGTTCCCTAGAGTCCCCTAGGCTCCAGACACTCTTCTCCCTGCCCCATTCTGTGGTCAGGACTCACATAGCCACTACAGTAAACACTGGCTCACTGGCACAAGGTATCCAATCAGCTGGTGGCAGCCTCTGCCTGCAGGACGGGGGCACCTTGTGTCCCTTGTGAGAGATGAGAACCCCAATCTTGCTGGTGGCTCAAGGGTGCAGTGAGGGACTATTCTCATTCACATGCATCCCAGACCCATGGGTTCTGACCACAGGAACCATGCTGCATGTTGACCGGTGGTGCAGAGTACGAGGCACATTCTGCTGGGCAACACAGCAGCACCCAGGGAGGCCTTGTCTCTGGCCATCATTACCAGCAGTCCCCCGGAGGCTGTTGACTGCATTCTCCAGCAAGCTACCGTGAGCCAATAGGGGATGTACTGGGGTCAGGGTGGTCCAAGGCCCCACTGTGTGTGCTAATGGGGTGCATGCCAGGGTCAGTGTGGTCCAGGGCCTCACTGAGCCGATAGGGTATATGCCAGGGTCAAGGTGGTCCAGGGCCTCACTGTGAGCTGATGGGGCACATTGGAGTCAGAGTAGTTCAGGGGCTAGCTGTATGAGCTGATGGGGCGTGTGCCTGGGTTAAGGTGATCCAGAGCCTTGCAGTGTGAGCTGATGGGGCACGTGCTGTCAGGGAGGTCCAGGGCCTTGCTGCTCTGACGGGGTGTGTGCCAAATCAGGGCGGTCCAGGGCCTCACTGTGTGAACCGATGGAGTATGTGCTGGGTTCAGGGAGGCTAGGGCCTCTCTCTGTGCGTGCCAGGGTCAGGGTGGTTCAGGGCCTCACTGCCATAAGTGATGGGGCATGTGTGGATCAGGGCGGTCTAGGACCTCACACCATGACTGATGGGGTGTGTACCTGGATCAGGGTGGTCCAGGGCCTTGCCACTGGGCTTCTGCTGTGACATGGATCTCCTGGGAGCAGTCCCTGCAGCAGCAAGGCTCTCTGTCACCCTGTGGACAGTGGTGGGGAAGTGTTGCTGCCCCTGTAGAGTAGAAAAACCCATGTGGTCAGTGGCTGGCATTGGCATGTAATAGTGGGTTTTTCACACTAGGGGTTTTGTTGGTCTCTCCTGTTCGCAGATGAGCCATTTATCAGTGGACCAGAGCCAGGCCAGCCCTGGAGTGAGGAGGCCCATGTGGTTGAAATTGTCTATGACCTCTCTGTGTGCATGGCCACTTGTTTATGAGAACCCTGAATAAGAGTGGTGGCTGGAGAAAAAGGCTGATGCCACAAGACCCATCATTAAGGTGCTTGAGTACTGGGAGCCTGCAGGGAGTACGGTGGCAAGTCTGTCATGGACACAGTCTCCTCACACTCTTCATCAGTGCTTCTAGACAGTTTAGACAGCTTTTGTCACTGATTTCCAATCTTGTTCCTCCCAGGACCCTAGTCATCCAGTCACACTCTTACCCACTGGCTGCTCGTGCAGATCCATGCCTGGCTCCTAAGCAGAGTGAGCTCCTACATGCACTCACTGGTAGTTTCCCTGCCCCACTGTTCTTAGGACCACTCCTCAATGGACTGTAGTGCTGTTGACCTTTGCCTTTAAGTAGTGTCAGCATTTTTTGCAGATGTCAGATCTAACTGGTTTACTCCGGCAAGTGATCATTGGGACCCCTCCGTAGGCTGTGGGTGCCTGCCAAGGTGCTGTCAGGGTAGCAGTGTGGGAGCTGTGAGAGTCAGACCCACTCACTCATGTTGTCTGTGCCTCCAGGATGTGTTGATGCCCAGTAGTGAGTGAGTGAGTGAATATGTATGAGAGAGAGAGAGAGAGAGATATTATGTGTATAAACCTTTAGTGTAAAGACACAGTGCTCCTGAATTGCCCAACCTAACAACCTGACAGTCCAATGTCACAGCCTGTGGTAGTCAGCTCAAGTTCCATGATGACCCTGCGCCCTGGTGAAGTGCACATCTCTAGTGTCCACGCCAGAAAGCAAGCCAGAGCTGGTACCCAGGAGAAGAGTGACTTGCAGAAGAGGGTGCGGCTCTGTCTCAGAGCCCTCTGGCTGTGCTCCGGCCTGTGGGGCCAGTGTGGAGAGGTGGGGACTAGTAGGTGTTTGGGGCTTGTGACTGGATCTCATGAATAAATTAATGTCTTCCCTGGGAATGAGTTCTCCCTCTCATGGAGGATTAGTTCCCACAAGTGTCCAGTTAAAAACCTCCCTGGTTCCCCTCTTTTGTCTCCTCTCTTGGCTTGTGATCTCTGCCCACAGCCACTCTGCGTCCATGATCTGCCATGAACTGAAGAAGCAGGAGGCCCCAATTCTGGACATTCCAGCCTTGAGAATCATTAGCCAAATGAATTTTTCTTTATAAAATTAATTACTCAGCCTAAAGTATTCTGTGGTAGCAACACAAAATGGACTAATACACAAATGGAAAAACTCACTAACGGAATCAGGGTGATGGTATTAACCTAAGCAACTCTGGAGTGGACTCTGCAGGCTCATGGCAAATGAACTGTGCTTCATTCTGGATTCACGGAGATCATCCCGTAATTGTTAGCAATTCTCAAACCACCACATCTGTATCTGGAATGGAATAGTGACTTATATAAGTGGCAGATGGCTGGAGCCAGGTCTCTCACTGTTAAAATGGGAGCTATAGATTAGCAAGGGGAGAAGGCTAGCGCGACCCGTGTGATAAGAGATCAGCATAAACTTGTGTGATGCTTACTACAGATGGCTCTACACAGCAATCTTTAAAATTAGGTGTGTGTGTGAAGATTAGAATACACACAGATACTTCCTTGCATTGTCAGCTGTGGGGGCCAAGATTCAATTGTACATTTAGCAGCCAGATGTAAGTTTTTCTAATAAAAGGAATTTTTCCATTTCTAATAAAAGGAATCAGGATTCTTTGAAGACATGGCTGATGCCAGGCCTGGGGCAGTAAATATATGAGTCAGGGTAATTTTGAACTATGATCTCAATGGTCAAGGCATGAAGGAACTCAACAAAAAGACACTGTAGTGTAGAACAGTAACCAAAGCTTAAAAGCTTAAAATAACTATCAGGGTCATTGCTTTGATAAACCCTGCTGTCTCCATGTGGCTCTCTGAGAGTCAGACCCACTCACTCATGTGTCTTAGCATTGGCCCTGTGTCTTAGTATTGGCCCTCTCTCCTACCTTGGAGAGGTGAATCTCTCCTTCTCTCTCACTTTCAAAATAAACTTTGCTTGAAAACTTAAAAAATAAATTAACTATCAGGTGTTCATATTTGTATAAATAAACTGACAGGCAAATGGAGTTGACGAGAAATCTCCTTTGTAAAAGAGTGCCAAGTAACTGATGTAGACACTCAGCCTTCAAGAAGGTGGCGCTGACTCCCACATCTAAGTGCGGGCTCTGCACACTGACTTCCTTCAGAAGAAACACAATTTGGACACGGTGGGAAAGTCACTTCACAGTAAAGACACCTAAAAATCACTAACTAGGCTAAATGATCAAAGTCAGCATCAGTGGTGACTGATGCTGGGTGAAGTGCCGTGGAAAACTCCTGGATTCTTTGATGCCACCCTAAAATGAATTTTAGAATGGCTGGCAAAGTTTATTAGAGAAAGAAGAGACGAAAAAAGGAAGATTCATGGCAGAAAGACCTGCCATGGGTGAGTTTCTCAAAAAATGAGAAACCGTAGCTTTTGTGTTTTTTACAAAAGGCCTGATATACCTATTTAGTGATTAATATGTTAATAAGTAGGCAGGCATATCTGCTCTCACCTCCACCTCTGATGGGTGGTCTTTATTCTTTGTCTCCACTCTTGCCATGATCTATGGCTTTTTGCTCCCCGATCCAGGAAGCACCTTGGAGTCTTCCTTTGGGGAGCTGAAGGGATGGGGTGGACTGGGAGTCCACCATGAATTCCCATTCCAGCCCACATGGCTGTTCAGCCTGCCAACAGGACTTCTGGATGCTTTCTTACTAAAAACTGTAAGGAATTAAGCCAGGTGTGGTGGATTACCTGAGCCCATGAATTTGAGACCAGCTTGAGCAACTTGGCAAGACCTCATCTCTACAATAAATAAAAAAATTAGCCATGTGTGGTGGCACATACCTGTAGTTCCAGCTACTTGGAAGGCTGAGGTGGAAGGATCGCCTAAGTGCAGCAGGTTGAGGTTGTGGTGGCTGTGAGTGTGTCACTGCCTTCCAGCCTGGGTGACAGAGTGAGACTCCAACTCAAAAAAAAAAAAAAAAAAAAAGAATTGAAGGGACCCCAGAACATCAAGTATGGAGGTAGCCACTGGAATTTCTAAGCAACCATATGGTTAGGCATGCATGTGTGCTACAAGGAAGTGTCTGGAAGAAGAAAGAAATTTCTAAAACATATTTCAGGGCTACATCTTAAGATAGAGGGGAAAAAAAACTTTAAAACACATTCTAAAGCGGGACATGGTGGCTCACACCTATAATCCCAGCACTTGGGGAGGCTAAAGCAGGAGGATTGCTGTAGACCAGGAATTCAAGACCCGCTTGGACAACATAACCAGGTATGGTGGCACGTGCCTGTTGTCCCAGTTACTGGGGAGGCTGAGGTGGGAGAATCACTTCAGCCCAGGAAGTCCAGGCTGCGGTTTGCCATGAGCGTGCCACTATACCCTGGCCTGGGTGACAGAGTGAGACCCAACTCAAAAACAAAGCAAACAAAAAAAGCCTGAGATACTTGGTTACACCACTTGAGATTACAGAATGAGGGGTGGGTTGTGGCAGAGCAAGTTAAGGTGGCAAAACAAGCTAGGGGAGGGGAGAGCAGGCCTGTCCCACAGAGGTGGTTGTCTCAGGTAATGAAAACCCCTCTGAGGAAAGAGATGGTCAGTGTTTCTTTCAGATCTCAGCTCTCAGATTCAGTTAATCTTTTCTACACTGGGACAAGGGAAGACCTCAGAGAAAACCTGGCTGCATCAATGCTTTTCCTTACAGATGCAAAGCTTCCCCACAAGATAGCTTGCAGGACTGCTTCTGTTTGGAGGTCCTCTGAACAGCCATCTCAAAATACGCCCAATACTCATATTTTTATGTGAAATTTTTTCTTGATTACAAAATACATTTTAATAAGATCTGGTTTGGCTTTTAGATTTTTTGAGTCAGAATCCCACTCTGTCGCCCAGGCTAGAGTGCAGTGGCACAAGCATGGCTCATCACAGCCTCGATCTCCTGGGTTTAGGCAACCTTCCCACCTTAGCCTCCCGAGTAGCTGGGATGATAGGTGTGTGCCACCACACTCGCTAATTTATTTATTCTAGAGATGAGTTCTAGCTAAGTTGCCTAGGATGGTCTCCAACTCCCGGGCTCAAGCAATCTTCTGGCTTCAGCTTCCCAAAGTGTTGAGACTACAGGTGTGAGCCACCGCACCTGGCCAGTAATGTATTTATTTACCTTGAGTAATGTGTCTTGATACGCCTCCTTTTCCATTTTTTAACGTTGTTTCAAGTACTTTAGTGCTTAAGAAAAACGAGTCATTAAAATAGCAAAATAAGTTTACCAGGGGGTGCATGACCCTCACCCCAACCAGCGGCCCAGTTCCTAGGCCTTCTGGGCCGCTGGTGTGGAATTACACACGCGGGCGAGAAGGCCTGGAGCCTGGGGTCGGGAACGTCCGCCGGCTGGAAGATTCACCGGTGTCCCAAAAGTGTGAGGGCGGAGCCTGGGGTGTGACTCGGCCGCCAGGGCGCGGGGTCCTCGTGGCAACTGGCCCGTTTTCACGCGCGGCGCCCTTCGGCGCGGACGCCCCCGGTCACGACGCCCTTTCTCACCACGCTCCTCGGCCACCGGCGGGTCCTCGCTGGCTCTCCCGAACCCTCCCGCGTTCCCCGCGGTCTCGCCATCGCCGGCAGGGCCGGGCACACGTCTCCGGCCGGGGCCGTTCCTTGCCGGGCAGAGGCGTCTCTGGAGCCTCAGCGGCCCGGGCGGCCGGGCCTCCTCGGCGCAGACCCGCTCGCCTGCCCACCCGCCTTACCTCTTCCGCCAGCTCGCCCGCCCACCATTTCCACATCCTGTGGCGGCTGCCTCTGGAGCTCCGCCTCGGCTGGCCGCCACGCGCGGACCGCGGCCGAGGTACTGAGGGCGTCCCGAACGCTCGCTGCCCCAAGACCGCCGGCCCGCCACCCCCGGAGTCCCGCCGCCACAGACCGGAAGCAGGGACGCGAGGGGCGGGCCAATGCCGGGGCTTCCTCTTCCCCCCGCCCCCCCCCCGCCACACCGGTCCTGCAATCCACCGCGCGTCGGACGTTGCTCGTCTCGCGGCTTCCCTTCCGGTGACCGCCTTCCACCTCCGCCGCGCCCCCATGGCCGCCGCCCGGGCTGTGCCGGTGGAACTGGGCTTCGCCGAGGAGGCGCCGCTGTGGAGGCTGCGCAGCGAGCAGTTCCCCAGCAAGGTGGGCGGGCGGCCGGCGTGGCTAGGTGCAGCCGGACTGCCGGGGCCCGGCGACCTAGCCTGCGCGTCCTGCGGCCGTCCGCTCTCCTTTCTGCTGCAGGTGTACGCGCCGCTGCCCGGCCGCGCCGACGCTTTCCACCGCGGTCTGTTCCTCTTCTGCTGCCGCGAGCCGCCGTGCTGCGCCGGCCTGCGAGGTGCGTGGCGGACTTGTTTTTCCTCGACAGGCCCAGCTGCGTCCGCGCACGTGGCTGCCATTCGTAGCTTGTTGGGGCGTGGGGCGTGGGGCGGGCGGCAACCTTCGGACCAGCGCCGGGGCATTCTCCTGCGTGGTGCAGGCTGCCTCGCCTGGTCTCGTTGCTGATGAACTTGCTGCCTCGCCTGGTCTCGTTGCTGATGAACTTGAACCGGTTCCCAGAGTCCCTCCACTGCATGTGTGAGAAATCTGGCGTGGAGTTTAAAGTGTTTCTTTTGAGTCGGGTCTCAGGCTGTCCAGGCTGGAATGCAGTGGGGCAAGGGAAGACCTCTGCCTGGCAGCCTTTCCATCTCAGCCTCCCAAAGTGCTGGGATTAGAAGCGCGAGGACCGCACCACACCTAGTTTGGGGATTTTTAAAAACTGCTTATTCTTTTCTCCTCTTCCAGAAAGTAACCTCCCTGAAAGCAAAAAGTTTCGTTTCTCTTTACAAAATGAGTGTTTTTTCCAATTTATGTGAAGAGGCTCAAATATTTGAATTGCTATTATGTTATACTGAAAATATTTATAACTTTTCTCTGCATTCTGTCTTAGTTTTTAGGAACCAGCTACCCAGGAAAAATGACTTTTACTCCTATGAGCCACCTTCTGAGAACCCTCCCCTAGAAACAGGAGAATCAGTGTGTCTCCAACTTAAGACTGGCGCCCATCTCTGCAGGGTTTGTGGTTGTTTAGGTCCCAAAACATGCTCCAGATGCCACAAGGCACATTACTGCAGTAAGGAACATCAGCTCCTCGACTGGAGATTGGGACATAAACAGGGGTGTACACAACCAGGTGAGCTGTCTTTTATAGTTTCAGCTTAGTTTCATAGCTTTTGTCAACCCAAATATTTTATTCTCAAGATAACTTCGAAATTAACATTAGAAGAATTATAGTACTTTTCAAAATGTTCGTAACTGGGGCTGGGTGCAGTAAGCTCACTCCAGTAATCCCAGCACTGTGAGAGGCCAAGGCGAGAGGACTGCTTCAGGCTGGGAGTTCAACATTAGCCTGGCCAACATAGCAAGACCCCCTCTCTACCTAAATAATAATAAAAAAGAGCCAAGCATGGTGGCTCATGCCTGTAGTCCCAGCTACTTGGAAGGCTGAGGCAGAAGGATCGCCTGAGTCCTAGAGGTGGAGGCTGTGGTGACAGTTATCATGCCACTGCACTCCAGCCTGGACAAGAGTGAGACTGACTCAAAAGTAAAATACAATATAAATAATTATTTTTTCGTAACTGGTAACACAAACACCTTTATAAAAAAGAAGTTGTGAGGTCTTAATCACTGTTATGTTAGTGCCTTTTCTTAATATAGGCATTTATGATCCCTACTCTAAAATGCCAGAACTACAAATAATAATAGGGAAAACTGTTACTATGTGGAATATGATACTTTAGAAAGAACAAACTATTAGACCATCTTATAAAACTAAAGATTGCTAGTATGCTAGTACCTTTCTTGTTTTAGATTATCGGGACCATACAGTTCCAGACCACAACTTCCTGTTTCCAGAATTTGAAATTGTAACAGAAACAGAAGATGAGATTACACCTGAAGTTGTGGAAAAGGAAGATGCCTCAGAGATTATAGGGAGCATGGGTAAGCACTTTTAGAACTTCATTCATAAGTAACACTGCTCGAAGGAAAAGGCTCAGCATATCAAGAAGAGAGATACTGAGCAGAAAAGACTCTTACTTTGGAGGCTGCAACTTGTGATTTTTCAAATACTGCCTCGGGCAAAAATATACTTCCTGGGCCTGGCTTCCTGGCATATATCAGGTATGTTCTGCTCCCTGTAAAGACAGAGGAGGCATCCAGATGCTTGCGAGCTGGTGGGTTCCTCTGGGCTCCCAGATCTGTTTCTCAGACCGTGATAGTGTCAGTGCCCAATGTTTGGCATGCAGAGGGATCCTTTAAAAGTAAGTTTCTTCTTCTTGTCAGTTTTAGATACACAAGTTTTTTTCAGTTTATCTAGAGTGCATGTTCTAGAGTAGTACCTATATTACATAGAATAGTAGCCAGCAGTTATCCAGCACTTACTTTACACAAAGGGCTGTTAGTATATGAGCTCATTAAATTCTGACAGCAGCCCAATAAGTCAGAAACTGCCCCATTTTGCAGGAGAGGAAATTGAGGTTCTGGGTGTAACTTGCTTTGGTCACATAACTGTTAAGTTGTACATTGTGAGTTTGTGACTAGGTCTTGCTGAGTCTAGACCTTGAGCCATACACACAGCCACCACAGCATTAGACTTACAGACTCTAAATGAGAATGTCTGCTTACTGGTTCGTGGGTCACTGTGCCTGACCTCGTGCTTGACAGTGGAGACAGTGGGAAGCAACAACACTCCAGTGGTCAGGTGCGCACAACCCCACAGGAGCGCACAGATCATACACAAGGAACTCGAATTCTGTGTAATGACTGATAGGAGTTTAAGGAACACTGCCTGGAAGGGCCATGTGTGTGTCTTAATACTTACACACTGTTGCTTGTTTTTAAAATGGACAAATACTGGAAATGCTTACCTTTAGGAGGGCTAAGGGTGAAGGCTGGACTTCGAATATGCCTTGTTAATGTGGATGTAACTCTGGAAACATGCATTTTATAGGACTATAAAGTAAAATTAAGTTTTAGAAAGTAGTCCCTCATCATCAAAAGTAAATGAAAAATACTGAATTAGTCATATAACCATGCAGAGCATGTTCTAGGTGACTCACATGCCTAATGGAATATACTCCAAGAATAAAAAGAACAGAAAGAAAATGCTGGTGCTTTCAATAAACATGTTGTGGCTAGAATGTTGCTGTTATTTTGAGATAATTGTGTGTGTATTGTAGGAGGAAGCAAATGAGTAATTATGTTAATGCTGCTGAGAGCTGAGGTGTTAAGCATGGGAGAAAGATGATGATAGTTGATGAGATTAAATAAAAACCCTGTAGGTCTCAGTTTATATAGTATATAAACTATATAAAGTTTATGTAAAGTATAAATATGAAGTGTGTATACTGTGTAAACTCAGTATCAACTCATGATGTATTTAATCCATTGTAAAGGCTTAGATATAATGACCACATCAGTAGCAATGGGTATCTCTGATGCCTAGATGGTAGTATCTAAACAGCATCTCTCTAAAAGGAACTCCACGCTCTTCAGAGAAGTGGTTGAGTTCAGAGCTGGATCAAAAAATATTAAAATAATGTTGGGACATGGACATATCAGAGATCAAAGAATCCATCAACGATTACTATGCTTATGTCAGAGGGTCTCAAGAACCCATGTGAAAAGGCTGGCAAAAATGGGCAATTTGAACATCCATGGGTTACTAACTGCAGTGGATTAAAACATATCAAATATGTTTCATAGGTTCAAAATGATACTGAAGGGAAGGAGTTTGTCTTGTAGTGGTATACATCTGAATTCACAGATGAAGTTATATATCTGGGATTTACTTAAGAGTGATGGAGTTGGCAGAAGTAGTAGGGACAGGAGACAGTGTTGAAACTGATTGATGATACAATAAGAGGTAATTCATTATAACATTTCTACTTTTGTGTATGATAAATATTTTCTGGGCAACCCACTTTCGGGTCCCCTCTCACTGCCAAGAGCTTTCCTATCTTCTAATAAACTCTGACTTGCTCACTCAAGAAAAAATTTTTTTTTTACTAAAATGAAAAGAAAAACGCTTCCTCAAGGTAGCTGAGACTTGAGTTCCCAGGTGAAAGAGGTTGGCAGGAGGCAGTAGGGTTCCACCTTTACAACGTCCTAGAGGCTACGCTGGAACTTTGCTCATGCACTCAATGGAACATGAATACGATGGCGTTCCGTAGTCCATCAGACCTGGCAGTGCAGGGGAACGCCATTAATGCCCTCCCAATTTCGTAAAAGCAATTACTTTAGCTTATCTGACCCAGGGTGTATCATAGTTATCTTTTGATAAATGTTATGAAGACTGAAGTTTGTCCTGGGAGACACTGTTGGAGACAGCAGTGGTCCAGGGTGGCTGGATTTCCAGGAGTAAATGTGGAGAAGGAAATGAGCATTTAGTGACTGAATGAGTGTACCAGCTGGGGACAGAAATGTGTGACATGAAGAGACTTGTAATGAGAGCCCTGACAGCTTATGGACAAGTAGTGGTAAGAAGGGCTCACAGTCGCTGGGTATCCATAACGTGCTGGGCACAGTCCTAGTCCTTGAGTTGGTAATTTTGTTATTTTGAAGCTTTATAGGGAAGTGCTGCATGGGACTCTGCATAATAAATGGTGCAGCTTGGAGTACTTGGAGATTCAGATGGTCCAACTTTAAGGAATAATTAAGGGATTAAAACTGGCTTCCATCAGCATGTGTGGACTGTCAGGTTGTGGAGATTATTTCTGTGTACTGCAATAGTGATATTGATTTTTCAGGCGAGGCACTTGAGGAAGAACTAGATTCCATGGCAAAACATGAATCCAGGGAAGATAAAATTTTCCAGAAGTTTAAAGCTCAGATAGCCCTTGAACCAGAACAGGTAAAGTAGAATGCATGCCTCTTTATTGTGTTCTTTTTAGGCCATGCCTCACGAGTATAATCCCTAAGAAGTAGCTCTTTAAAATCACACTGGTCTGTTCCTTGGGAGCCTATATAAGCAGGTTTTTTATCTTTTACAAGAATTCTTCACACAGACGGGTCACATAGAAAGGGGTTTGGCAGTGCTGATTCTTTTAACGATTATTGAAAGACTATAGGTTATTCTGTTTATCATTCAGGGTTCATTTTCTAAAGAAAACATCAAGGATGAGATGAGTGAGATGTTGCCTAAAACACATGAATTTTAGTAATCACTGGCCCCCCAAAAAAGTTATTTTTTGCGCTTTTTCCAACAAGTACCTTTGGCTTGTAAAACTAACATGACACATTAACAGTACATCATCCCCCTTTAACTTCCCTCACCATAAACATAAATCACTAAAGAAAACTCAGGTACATTCTTATAAACCAGCCACTTGATAAAATATCCAGGGGATTATAGGAAGAATAGCTCTGGGGCCTAAACACTACAAAAGTGGTTTCTGGCAATCCATATGCTTAACAAAACATAGGAAACCCACTCAGTTGTTACAGGAACTTATTACAGTGAAATTCATCTGTGTTTGTAGTATTTATCAAAACATCCTATTTCACTTGATATTTGTCCCTTATAAAACTTTTCACTAAGGTTCCTTCAAGCATGGACTCAGGGCAGCATTTTGGATCAGAACCTGGTGATAGGGAAACAAGGTCTTATTCTTAGTCCCATCACAGTGTATTTATAGGTTAGGATTCTAACAGTAGGTAGTAAAAGCATCATCAAGGAAATTGAATGTTGGTACCCCAGTCAGGTAAGCTGAAGTAATCACTTTGGGGACACTGAGAAGCATTAGTGGTGCACACGGGCACAGCCAGGTCTGATGGGGAACTGTGAAAGGCCTTTCAGCTCAGTGCTCTCACAAGTGTGGAAACATGTCTGGAGTTTCTCTAAATGATCATCAGATAACATATTACCATCTCAGACTTCAAGGTAAGGTGTTGATTTGAACATGATGCTTATTGATTTTAGATTCTCAGATACGGCAGAGGAATTGCCCCCATCTGGATTTCTGGTGAAAATATTCCTCAAGAAAAGGATATTCCAGATTGCCCCTGTGGTGCCAAGCGAATATTTGAATTCCAGGTAAGAACTATTTTAGTGTATAATCACGACGATTTACACTTTTAAAAATTAGAAGTGGTACCACAGTCATGTGTGCACATTGGTCAACATGGCAGTACAGAAGGTGCCTTATAATGAAAATGTGTCCTGCCCTACCTCAGGGCTTGTTCCCTAGAGGGAAGTATCTGCTTTTCCTGCTGTTTGTCAGTTTCCAAGTTTTCAGCCATTGTTTACTGACTTCTGTGATAATGAGGATTTACGTGTAACAGTGTATGCCAGCTACACTATCCTTCACTTCCAGTGTGAGTGCATCACTATTTTTAGTGCCTCCTTTGTAATTTTAAATAATTAAAAACTTTCTTTTCTTGCTCCATTAATTAAAGACCTTGACTCCATACTTCATGATAGTATTTTGAAGCTCTATTTAATCCTGGTTTGTGGATTTGTTAGAACAACAAGTAGATATAAACATTAAGATGAATGTTTTTTCCAAAGGGATGTTAGTATCAAAATCCATGAATAAGGTAGAAATGCTTGTGAACTGTGGATTCACTGACCTTATCTAAATTGTAAAAACAGTTACATTTCTTTGGACACAAAAGGAATTATGAGGACTCTTGGTTCTTAGTGCCAAAGTTCTGGATGCCCAAAATGTGGTGATAAGGTTTTGCATCAAGTGATTTCCTTTCGTGGTGGCAGTTCTGCCTCTCTCTGCTTTCTGCCTGACTCCTAAGACCAAGTCTAGTCTATTCAAATCCACCAACAGATACCTATTTGTATTTTTCACCAGGAGTTTGGGTCAGAGCAACATCTGCTGTTCAGGTTTTAAATGACACAAAATAGCAGTTGCTCACATAGAAGCCTCAGCCCTATTTTGTGGCATATTAGTAATAAAAACAGTTCATTAACAGCCACTTGTAACTCCTTTTTCAAATGGAAAAAGAGACACCCAACAGAAGGCTGGATGAAGTCCAGAGGGGCTTTAAAGCTTAAAAGTATTTTAGATTGTGAAATATGTTAATTGTCCTGCTGGGGAGTTTGGAGATAGAAAAGTTCTGTGGAGAGCTGGCAGTGCTCTCTTCTGGAAGGGCCTCCTAACTGTGTGTCATTCTCCTCTTAGGTCATGCCTCAGCTGCTGAACTACCTGAAGGCTGACAGGCTAGGCAGGAGCATTGACTGGGGCGTCCTGGCTGTCTTCACCTGTGCTGAGAGCTGCGGTTTGGGTACTGGCTACACAGAGGAATTTGTGTGGAAGCAGGATGTAACAGATATACCATAAAGCATCCTAATGCCTTAAAAATGTTAATAGTCTTTTGTGCCTTGCATTTCCATTTCTAGGACTTTATCCTAAGGAAGTAATTATTCCACAAATAGAAGTACAGAGATGTTGCTTGAGGCATTGTTTACAGTATCTAAATATCAGTAAAACAAAAATGTCCAGTGACAGGGAATTAAATAAATTTTGGTACATCCGTAGTATTAATTATACACACACACACCTTATGGACACCAAATTAGATACACATCCATACTGACACCAGATATCATTATAGGTGATATCCATGGTATGACCATATTTTTGTTAAAATACACATTTATATGTACAGAGAAACAAATCTGTAAAGATGCACACTAAATATGAACTGGTTACCTGTAAATGGTGGGACTAAGTGAAAGGATCTTTTTACTTATGTTTATTTCTTTCTATAATAAAAACGAGTTATGTGCCTAAGTCAAACCATCTCACTCTGAGAGCACTTTGCCCTGTTTGCAAAGTTAGGGAAAGAGAAACATTTAGGTAAGACTCCAACAGACTTGTCTGATCATCAGCTGACCTTCACAGGCTCTAGTAGACACTGGAAACCAGAACATGAGAAAACACCCTCATTATGTCAGTGAGTATGATGGACAGGATGCTCTTATTAATGATTCTAAAGCTTCAAAACTGACCTTGGATGGCCAGCGACCCGGCTTACAGGGGAGACACTGAAAGGCAAGGTGACAGCCTTCCTTTTCCAGACTCAGCACTGGACACACACACCCTATCACCTCAGTGATGGGATATAGATCAGTTAGCATCTGGCCCAGTAAGCAGCAGCCTGAGGCAAGGAAGGCCCTGAGGTCAGCTCTCAAGTGTGGGATGTTCTGTTTCTGATACATCTATCCAAGCAAGTGGCTCCTAAGTCCACTTTTAACCATGCTACAATGGATAATTCCCATTTCAGCACCAGTGATGCCTGCCCCGAAGACACTACTTGAACACTGACAGCCAATTCTGTTAACTTTCTTGTGCTGTGTTACTAAACTGCATTAGCTCACATCACCTGCTAATGTCACTGACCACTTGGGCTATTTTACTACACTTGTCATTCACAAAGTCCCAGCCTACTAGTCCATGTTATGTATGTGTAAGAGTAAATATGTAATTTATATTAATAGTATATGTGTAGATGATAGTTACACATAACATCATATGGAAAACTGCAGTATGGAGTTTCTCCCATTGGGAGGTTTGTTACTAGGCTACTTTTTTTTTTTTGAGTCAGTGTCTCACTGTGTTGCCCAGACTGGAGTACAGTAGCATGCTAACACCTAACACAGCCTCGACCTGCTGGGCTCAGGCGATCCTTTCAGTAGCTGGAACCATGGGAACGCATTACCATACCTGGCTAATTTTTTGATTTATTGTAGAGACTAGGCTACTAAGAGAGAAAATGGTACTAATTTTGAGCCTGAGATGGCTAAATCAACAATTACCTATAACTACCATGTCAGCCCATGGCCACTGGAGGAAGTTGTCATCAACTAGTGGCAAGAGTTGGTCATGACACTTAATAGGAACTACAAGGACTTCAGGAAAACTGGACAAGTGGGGCCTTTAAGATCCCAAATTTTATATAATTCCTGCATAGACTGCTAAATTATGACTGCTAAGGGCTTTCTGTGGTAAAAGGTGTTATTTGGGGGCATCACCGGATGGTATGGACAATCTTGCAGGCACTTTGGAGTACCCCTCCAAGCTACCATTCGTTTGTATCCCAGTCAGCTTTGAAATGATCATGTAAGTTCGCAGGGCCTTTCCACTTGAAACAGGTGGTGTCAAGAGAGGGAGACACATTGGCCCAAGTCATAAGAAAATGTTGCAGCACCGACTTAGCATCTGTGTTAAAAAATAGCAACTGTACTGAAAATAATACAACATAAAACATTTAAATAAAAAAAATGCATGAAGCAAACTCAGTTGCCTCTAGAAACATCAAGACATTTAAAACCACACCGCAGGGGAATCACCAAGTCTCCCTAACAGAACTGTGGCTCAACAGTGGTGCCAGCTGTTTTACTGCAGTTCACACATGCCACTCAGCCCTGCATGGCTTCACATCTGCCCAGGCAGAACCACTACCCTACTGTACAGAGCAACTTGTTCAGCTGTGTCTTTTTATTTCAGATATTGAGTGCTGGTCTCATCATCCTTTGAAAATTATAAAGATCACCGCAAAAAAAGTCTAAAAATGTTTGTGTTTTTGGGAATCACACTGGTGACAGTATTTCGTTAATTTTCTTTTTTTTTTCTGAGACAGTCTCACTGTGTCACCCAGGCTGGAGTGCAGTGACACGCTCACAGCCACTGCAGCCTCAACCTGCTGGGCTCAGGCGATCCTTCCACCTCAGCCTTCCAAGTAAATGGAACCAGAGGCGCATGCCATATTGCCTGGCTAATTTTTTGATTTATTGCAGAGACAAGGTCTCGCCAAGTTGCCCAGGCTGGTCTTGAACCCGTGGGCTCAAGCAATTCTCTTGCCTTGACCTCCCAAAGTGCTAGGATTACAGGCTTGAGCCACTGCAACTGGCCTTTGTTATTCCTAAGAATGTTGCATGTAAGGGAGGGGAGGGAGGGGAGCCCCTAACAACACGAAGGGTACCTGGTCCTAAACCGGGGAAGTGAGGACCAGCTGAAGGCCCAAAACTTCACTTGTGTATAGACTACATATGTACGTAATCCAACTTGTATCCCATACCTTTATAATACAAAAAAAAATAAAAATGACACACAAAATAAAACCTGCCACATATCCCAGGTCAGAAAAAGAAAAACTGGTGCTAGCAGACCCACCTTTCAGAAGATATTCAAATAAGCTTTTTAAGGCTGAAATCAAGGGACCACAGGTGATAATTTGAATTCACATAGAAAAGGTAAAACGCACTGGGAAAGGAAATCACACTATTACAGAAGACAATCTGGACACATGCTGCTTTCCTTGTATTATCTTAACTCATTTGAAGAAATGGGAGGAAAATATGTGAGTAATTTTGCTAGGCTGGATGGCTCAAGCCTGTCATCCCAGCACTTTGGGAGGTAGAGGCAAGAGGACTGCCTGAGCTCAGGAGTTCGAGACCAGCCTGGGCAACTTGGCAAGACCTTGTCTCTACACTAAATCAAAAAATTAGATGGGTGTGGTGGCGTGTACCTGTGGTTCCAGCTACTATCTCGAAAACTTAAAAAGGGAAAGAAGCGTTTGTCCTGCCATAGGAAATATATCATTTTATAAAGGTATTCTAGCTAATAAATGAAAAAGAAATGAAATGATTAGAATTTCATCATTTTGCAACCCACTAATGAATGAACAGATGTAGGAATTATATACCAGCTGCCAATTTGCAGGAAAAAGAGAGTAGAGGAGCATGCTGAACGACACCAGGAGTTTAGACATGGAGAAGCTCTAGGTGCCAAATGTCCTGTAAATTGAAAGGAAAAGAGATGGGTGGGGAACTCAGAGATGAATACTGGCATAAAAGCACTAAATATCTGGAAATGGGAGACTAACTGTATTAGTGTTTAGGTAATTACTATAAGTCACTGATCCCATTCGTGGAAAACGATTCCTTCTGGGGAAAAAGGGGCCTGTGGCAAGTCACGAACATAAGAGGGGCTTCTAAGGCAGCCAGCAAAATTGTATTTCTTGACCTAGGTGGTGGCTGCAAAAGCATCTTTGAGAATTACATTATGCTATACAGTTGTTTTGTTAGGTTTTTCTGTATATGATATATGATATATTTAATAACTAAGTTTTTTGGGTTTTTTTTTTTTTTTGAGTAGAAGTCTCACTGTCACCCAGGCTGGACTGCAGTGACATGCTCATGGCCACTGCAGCCTCGATCTGCTCAGGTGATCCTTCCACCTCAGTCTTCCAAGTGGCTAGAACTACAGGCACTCAATACCACGCCCAGCTAATTTTTTGATGTACTATAGAGAAGAGGTCTTGTCAAGTTGTCCAGGTTTGTCTCAAATCCCTGGCCTCAGGCAATACTCTCACCTCTGCCTCCCAAAGCGCTGGAATTATAGGCATAAGTCACCATGCCCAGCTAAGATTTTTTTAAAGTTATGCATATTGAAGTCTTAGCCACTGAAACAGGGTTAGAAAAAAGAAATACTGGAAAGGAAAATATAAAATTACTATTTATAGAGGATTACATGCCTAAAACCTTGAATACAATAAACTAAATCAACTGTAGTAATAAGAGTTCAGTAAACTGGGAATAATACAAATGTATCAACAATAATAAAGTGTTATAAAAAACTAAAATAGAAACTATAATAAATATTTCAGATCAGGGGATGTTTATGAAATGCAAAAGCTCTGAATGGAAAAAAATTATAAAACTTTACTGAGGATCCACATACATAGGGCCATTCTATTCCCGGAGAGGAGGGGATAACAGGGGAATGTGTCCTTCCAATTAGCATCACGAACGATTGGGAGCTACAAGAAGAGGGCACTTCCTATGCTATTCTCTTTGGACTGCAATTGGTATCACTCTTTCACTAGAATGTATGAACAGTCGTTAACACAGCAATTCTGCTTCTAGGGAAGCTGACTAGACATACCTGTACTTGTGAACGAAAACATACATCATGATGTTCCCTGAAGCACTGCTTGTAATAGTGTAACTGGAAAGAACATCAATGACCACAGCTTAGGAAATGGCTCAAGTAAATGAGAGGACGTAAGCAAGCCTCACATTCCAGATAATGGAAATACAGTTATGATAAACTGAAATAAGAGGAAGCTATAAAACTAAACATATTCTTTAGTATTTTTTCCAAAAACAGGATCAACAGCCACACCCAAAAGATAGAATTTGCATAGAACAGGCTTTGGAAGACACTCACGAATCTGGTAGTTACCCCAGGGAAACAGGCAGAAGGGAAAGGAAGGACCTCCTTTTTTCTGATTATATACCTCTGAGCTGTCTGAAAATGCACTTTTCTAATTAAAAAGGTAAAACACACACAGTGAAACCTAGGTACCTACAAATGTCCACCTCTGATATTCCATAAGAAAAAACTGCAAACAAAAGCCTCACCAAAAAAGTTACAGCAGAGAACAGGCAATGTGGACAGGGCAGCAGCTCTCGCCCCTGAAGGACGCTCTCGAAGGTCAGTCCTGCCCTGGCTGACCAGATGTGTGACCTGGGCAAGCCCCTCAGCAGGGATTTTGTTCTTTTAAAAGAGAATTCCAGGACAGGCTCGGTGGCTCAGCCTGTAATCCCACGCTTTGGGAGGCCGAGGTGAGTGAATTGCCTGAGCCCGCGGGTTCGAGACCCGCCTGGGCAACTTGGCGAGACCTCATCTCTACAATAAATCAAAAAATTAACCGGGCGTGGTAGCATGCGCCTGTAGTTCCAGCTACTTGGAAGGCTGAGGTGGAAGGATCGCCGGAGCCCAGCAGGTTGAGGCTGCGGTGGCCGGGAGCGGCCACTGCACTCCAGTCTGGGTAACAGAGTGAGACTCCAACCCAAATAAAAAAGAGAGAGAATTCCAGACACTGTATGCAAAGTACCTAGGAACAGGAGGTGCTCAAGATGTGGAAAGTAGTAAGTACATGTTTCCCGAGCAACCCTAGCTCTCAGGTAGTGGCACTGCAGCACAGAAGAAACCCTTGACTGAATGAACAAGCAAACATACACCAAGATGGTTTCAGGCATCATAATCATATCTAAAATACAACTTTTTTAAAAAAACAATATGATCACGTGGCTCTTACAAGGTATCATTTATAACAACAATCTAACACTTTTATAAACTGCATTTATTGTACAGAGTACTCTGAAGAAAGAAAATATGTACAGCCATTTATTTTCATTAATACATATCTATTCTGTCCTGCAATACTGGAAAGGCGGAATGTGACTGGCACAGAAATAAACCCTAGGAGTTACAAATTAGAAAAAAACACTTTTAAAAAAGATTTTTACTTTTCTGATAGAAATATAAAAAATTTGGTTTATGGGGGAAAAAATTAAAAGTCCAATCAATTGCAGAGGTGGCTTTAACACTTAAAAGTTTTGTCCCTTAAACCAACCTGCCAACAACAGTGTTTAAAATCTACATATAAATAAATGGGCAGTGCTGCCCAAATAGCAGCACAGAATGAGCAACTCACAGTCATGCTGCATGGTGTTCTCAGTGCACAAATAACGCCCCTTCATGGTACCCCACGGTGGGCGTGTATTCAGCGGTAGGCATGTAAGAGCATCACCTGGTGCCGCAGCCTGCAACTCAACATCCATCCTCTCCCAACATACCACATAAAGGTACCAAAACTCAT